GACGATTCATATTATTTGGATACGCAATAGCTTTTTTGCGATTTTCTCCGTATATTTTTTAAGGGAAGCTTGCCCCCCCCCCCCCAATACATTTTGCTGGATCCGCCACTGGAACGCGTGAACAGACAACTCACCACACAATGACAATTGCGTTCATACAACCCAACACACAATGACAATTGCGTTCATACAACCCAACACACATTTTGTATAACCCCTCCTTGGGGTAACACGATATTCTTACCGCAGTGTGCTAGTCTATATTTTGTCTCGTACTGTGGCAATAGGCGATTCCCGTTCACTGCGATATCTCGCATAATGCATGAAAGTCGCGGACCGCGAAAATTCCCACTTTGGAAGGTTTCCAGAGTTTGTGAGAAAGTACTGCATATGATGATAGAATAAAATGTTGGTGAAACATCATATATTACTATGAAAGTTTAAAGAACACATTCTTTCTCAAACAGCATGAGAAGCATTTTTTCCATTACAATGACTTCAATCTCTCACTCACCATGTTTCCGGATGTCTTCCCTTTTGATAGTGAAAAACGGGAATTAGTTTCATTTTACCTTTCTATCACATGAAAGTGCTTTCGTATATACATGTAAATAGTATTCGTTTGACCAAAACAAACTGACTAAATTATTCGGTTCGGTTTTCTTGTTGTTTTCTAGTAGATAATGAGTGCACTTTCATTGATTCGGCGTGCCATATGCCTCCAAGCAATCCCGGGTAAAAAAAAAAAATAGAAAGCCAAAGATTTTATAGAGAGTGATAATTAAAATACATGTATGTATAGTCTCTGATTGACAGTCAATATAGAATCTCTATGATGGCTGTCATATGGTCATATTAATCTCTACGATCAGAGTTCTGAACCTTTTGCAGTTTAATTGTCTTTCCATGTCTTGGGGTGAAAAGGGCACATTATGATTTCATGGTTGATTCTAAAGGAAGATATGACTTAATCGTGGACATTGCATGTAGGTTGTAAGTAATGAAAACGGTATTTTACATGGCATCTCGACTGATTTCTGCCGTTGGTGGCGTGGTTCAGAGTCCAATTTCAGAGAGACGGAGCGTTCAGTTGATGCATGGATAATACATGTCGCGGTGCAAACATCTAAAGATCTATCAACGGCAAGTGTTTAATAAATTCTAATGTAAAGTTTCAAAAACCTGTAACTGTTCCCTTCGAGTTTGATGACGATATCACGAAAAATTCATCACCATTTTGATAATTGAGTCCATGATGGAGTTTTAAAGAAACACTAAAGCTGTGAATTAAAAATCGAACTTAGCTGTTAAAGATGTTTGGCCATCTGACCATTACTTGGGTCCCAGATCCGGAAATCGTGAATATCGACATCACTAGTCATAGGCTGCAAAGTCCATGATAAGAACAGAATGAACAAAACTCAGTTCAATCAAGTAAGCATAATTATTTCCTTGTTCGGTGGAAATTATTAAGTCCAATTCTGAGATAGTATTTGCACACTTGAGACTATTCTACGTTCAATCCAATATGTACAGTATAACATGTATTTTAACATATGTAACTCATCAAGGTGCCTGACATATAAACTCCCACAGTGCATCATCTAGCGAAAATTTGTGAATTCCTGGCAGTGTTCTCACTACAAGTAAAACAAGTCTCATTCGAAATTGTCGCTTCGCGTAGATTGACACTGAGGGCGTTTTCAATGACCTCATTAATACGATATTTGACACCGATGGCGCCAGAAGCAATGTCAGTTGAGCGTGTTGAAAATCATTGCTTGAGTTTATTTCATGATATGACAATAAATGACTAGCATGAGCATAAAAGATTATGGCATGACCATTGATACCTATAATATGGTGACTATGATACAACCATGAAAGGCTACAATAAATGACTATATAGTATGGCCATAAATGACTATGACTGTGAATGGCTATGGTATGACATATATGGCCATGACTGTGAATGGCTATGATATGACATATATGGCTATGATTGCGAATGACTATATAGTATGGCCATAAATGACTATGACTGTGAATGGCTATGATATGGCCATAAATGGCTATGACTGTGAATGTCTATGGTATAGACATAAATGACTATGACTGTGAATGGCTATGATATGGCCATGAATGGCTATGATTGTGAATGGCTATGATATGGCCATAAATGGCTATGACTGTGAATGTCTATGATATGAACATAAATGGCTATGACTGCGAATGCCTATGATATGGCCATAAATGGCTAAGACTGTGAATGCCTATGACATGGCCATAAATGACTATGACTGTGAATGCCTTCGACATGGCCATAAATGGCTATGACTGTGAATGCCTATGACATGGCCATAAATGGCTATGACTGTGAATGCCTATGACATGGCCATAAATGGCTAAGACTGTGAATGCCTATGACATGGCCATAAATGGCTAAGACTGTGAATGCCTATGACATGGCCATAAATGGCTTTGACTGTGAATGCCTATGACATGGCCTTAAATGGCTAAGACTGTGAATGCCTATGACATGGCCATAAATGCATATGACTGTGAATGCCTATGACATGGCCATAAATGGCTAAGACTGTGAATGCCTACGACATGGCCATAAATGGCTATGACTGTGAATGCCTATGACATGGCCATACATGGCTAAGACTGTGAATGCCTATGACATGGCCATAAATGGCTATGACTGTGAATGCCTATGACATGGCTATAAATGGCTATGACTGTGAATGCCTATGACATGGCCATAAATGGCTAAGACTGTGAATGCCTATGACATGGCCATAAATGGCTAAGACTGTGAATGCCTATGACATGGCCATAAATGGCTAAGACTGTGAATGCCTATGACATGGCCATAAATGGCTAAGACTGCGAATGCCTATGACATGGCCATAAATGTCTATGACTGCGAATGCCTATGATATGGCCATAAATGGCTAAGACTGTGAATGCATATGACATGGCCATACATGGCTATGACTGTGAATGCCTCTGATATGGTCATAAATGGCTATGACTGTGAATGCCTATGGTATGGCCATAAATGGCTATGACTGTGAATGACCATTATATGGCCATGAATGGCTATGACTATGAATGGCTATGATATGGCCATGAATGCCTATGATATGGCCATAAATGGCTATGACTGTGATTGGCTATGATATGACATATATGGCTATGACTGTGAATGGCTATGATATGACCATGAATGCCTATGATATGGCCATAAATGGCTATGACTATGAATGCCTATGATATGGCCATAATGGCTATGATTATGAATGCCTATGATATGGCCATAAATGGCTATGACTATGAATGCCTATGATATGGCCATAAATGGCTATGACTGTGAATGCCTATGATATGGTCATAAATGGCTATGACTGTGATTGGCTATGATATGACATATATGGCTATGACTATGAATGCCTATGATATGGCCATAAATGGCTATGACTGTGAATGCCTATGATATGGTCATAAATGGCTATGACTGTGAATGCCTATGACATGGTCATAAATGGCTATGACTGTGATTGGCTATGATATGACATATATGGCCATGACTGTGAATGGCTATGATATGGTCATAAATGGCTATGACTGTGATTGGCTATGATATGACATATATGGCTGTGACTGTGAATGCCTATGATATGACATATATGGCCATGACTGTGAATGGCTATGATATGACCATGAATGCCTATGATATGGCCATAATTGGCTATGACTGTGATTGGCTATGATATGGACATAAATGACTATGACTGTGAATGGCTATGATATGGCCATAAATGGCTATGATTGTGAATGGCTATGATATGGCCATAAATGGCTATGACTGTGAATGTCTACGAAATGGACATAAATGGCTATGACTGCGAATGTCTATGATATGGCCATAAATGGCTATGACTGTGAATGCCTATGACATGGCCATGAATGGCTATGACTGTGAATGCCTATGGTATGGCCATAAATGGCTATGACTGTGAATGACCATTATATGGCCATGAATGACTATGACTAAGAATGGCTATGATTTGGCCATGAATGCCTATGATATGGCCATAAATGGCTATGACTGTGATTGGCTATGATATGACATATATGGCTATGACTGTGAATGGCTATGATATGACCATGAATGCCTATGATATGGCC